TAAACTTGAGGAAAACAACCAGATAGAAATTGACCCTCATCCCCTCCACCTCCTCTTCCTCAGCCCCAGCTTGAAGCTGTTGAACGTCCTTGGCACTCCCAGACGACTTTCGGCTGAATGGCCACTTCTTCTCTTTCTTCGGGGTGTCCTTCCCCGAGGGTTTACTGCACTGCACGAACTGTTCCTCAACGACACTGTTGTTCATCCTTTCTATTACCTTCTTCATGATGCTGGCATGTCTGCATGGATGCACGGAGGCGGCTTGGAGAGAGGCGGAGTGGATGAATGGTTCAATCGTTACTGTTTTCTGGGCGTGGTCTGCTGAGATGTCTTGGAAGATTTGGGAGGGGGTGGGGTGCAGTTCTATTGTTTCCTTTAGCTAGCATATTAGAAAAATGGGCAAAAGGTGAACCTCATCGTAGCCGATCAACCAAACGTGTGGGGTCTGATAATACTTGTCGTATGTGGTCATTACATTGTATGTGTGGACCTGAAGCAGATTCCCCTTTGCAACTTCCACATTGGCATTACAAAGATATTGTCAGCATTCTTTCAATTTCCAGCATACCCAATGACAAAACATACCTAGCATCAACCCCGGCAGCAGCAGGTATAACCGAGGCCTTGGGCGCAGCTGTAGCCATAGCCTCATCATCCCCCTCCTCCATATCAGGGATATCATCCAAATCAGGTGTCTCCGCCCCAACACCCTCACCCCCTCCCCTGCCCAACGACACGCCCCACAAGCCCCTCACAATCCTCTCCTCATCCCCATGCGGCCCATCCCCATCCAAATCAGGGATATCCGCAATCTCACCTGTGTTCATCGCAGAGTCCATTCAATGCGCCTGCTGACCCGCATGTGTCTTAACCCAGTCGTCGCTGTCTGTGGAGGGGGAAGAGGAATCAGCAAAGAAGAGGAGGTGCTCAGCGTCCTCGTCTGCGTCTGTGTAGGCTAGGGAGGTGGTGCGCCGGAGGCAGGGGACACCACGCGTTACTAGGTATTGTTTGTCTTGTGGGAGGAAGTTGCAGGATTTGGATGCGTCTCCTTTTTCCCTGTTGCCCACTTAGTTTTCGCGAAGAGAGAAGAGGAGGAAGGAAGGAAGGAAGAAGGGGCTTACCATGTCCACACGGGGAACTTGCACACCAAAAAGTCACCTGCAGCGAAGAATTCCTCTGTTCCTCATGGTGAGCACAAGAAGTGTGATAGACGATCATGAACATACCAGGTGTAATACGGCCATGTTCTTTGGATTTGTTCTCTTTGAGAACCTAATAGGTGGGTGTGATGGGTGACAGTGAGATGATGCCAGATCGCGAATGATGGGGCTCACTGGGCTTAGGTACTACTCGTGCAGAGCGCATAGGCTGGACTGGATTGGTGGCTAGCAATGAAGCTGAAGGAGGACTGGGGGGACAGAGTCATTGAGAAGGGAGTTGGCATCAACTTGACAAGACGTCATTGAATGTTCGCAATGAACTTGCGGAAAACGACCAAATAAAAATCAATCATTCACCATCCTCTCAGTTCCTCTTCCCTCTAGCTTGCCGTTGTTGAACGTCCTTGGCACTCCCAACAATTTCCTGCTGAACGCCCACTTCGTCTCTTTCTTAGAGATGTCCTTGCCCCTTCAACTAGTTGGAGAAGAGGGTTTGCCATGTTGTGCAAGCTATTCTCGACGACGCCACCATTCAACCTTTCTTTTGCTTTCTCCATGATGCTGGCATGCTCGCATTCTTCAACGTTACAAGAAAAACAGTTTTACAAATGCACGAATCTCATTTCCATCCCATGTCCTCGGGACTCCAATAGTCCTCTCAACAATGAACTCCTCTCCCACATGTACCAAAGAATTTCCAAAGAGCTTGCTCCTCCCAAAATCGATGAGCCTGAAATCGAACACCCTGTCTCGAGGATTAGGTGCCATCTGGTTGGCCATGCGGAACAGGGGGAATTCAGTCAAAGGACCTGGCTGGAAGAGAATGTTGCAAGGCGCGACAGAGTGGTGGACCGACCCTGCATGATGGAACCGAAAAATTAATGATGTGCATTCGTGTCTAAAACAAATGAATCTGGTGAGTGATAATGAGATGTTGGATTGGTAGGGCTTACTTATCGTTGATATTAAGTGCGTCAACGTCGATTAGACTTCCACAATTCTCCATGAGAATGATCGGGCTACGATAATGGAGCTCCTCCCCACCACCAACATCACCCATGTCAGACTGACCAACATCATCAACCGCCGCCACCCTCTTCTCCTTCCTCACCGGGATATCCTTATCAGGAACATGATGCCCATAATACTGAGGCACAAGTGCACCCACAGGTACTGGCTCATGCAACAGCGAGACAATGTTATACCCATTCCAATGCTGGAAAAAGTGATCAGGAAACACCTGGTATTTAAGCGACTCTCTGTCCAGGCGATCGTCGCCCTGCATGGACAGTTTCGCCGTGACACGGATGGTGGCACGAAGGGTGTTTGAACCTATCCTGTTCTGAGAGGTAGATGCAGCCCCCACCTCGCTCGAGATTCTGGTACCCAACTGTGGTGCGGATGATGCAGATGGGACCTACATAGACGAGTCTGTTGAGCTCTCTGCGCTCCCTCAATACATTGACGTTTGGTTCTTCATGAGTGGTCGTTACAAATTCAGGCTGGATTTTGGGTCTGCCCCTTCTGCGTCATCTTCAGAAGCGATAATTTTCTGTTCTTCGTCAATGACGCATTGTCTGCAGAGGACGTCTGGGACGAGGAGGTCGCGTGGGATGTCCCACTCTGTGTGATAAGCGAAAGAGTGATTCCCTTTGCCCGCCAGGTGGGAAGGCGAGAGGTGCAGATGGGCTTCTTCGGCAGAACTGGGAAGAGAGGAAGGCTCGTGCATTGCGTATACCCAGGGTTTGGTTGATCCAGGGATGAGGCTGTCCATAGAGTGCTAATGCTGAAGAATGTTCTTCAAGCTTAGCACCCTTCCGAAGAGCTTCCTCGACCTCACGGTCTGAGATCAGTTTCTCTTGTTCCTTTTCCATCTTCTCTCTGCCAGCGGGAGAGGCGTTATGGCTATAGGCGTGGACTATGTCGGGTTTTGAAGACCATGGTTGAGGATGGTGTTCCTTGAAGTGGCCATCTCGAACTTGAAGCAAACGGAACTGGTCATGAACATAGAGAGTCGTTGGCAGAAGGTGTAGTGGAAGACGTTGTTGAAGAATCGGCAAAGAATTGAAGGTCGTGTCGAACGGCTCCTAGAACGAAAGAAAAAGGTCAGACAAGATGCGGAAAACGCAGAAAGAAAATACCAACAGGACGAATAAATCCCTCCTTTTTTCTTTCCCCCTCAGACTCACTCAATGTCTTTGAGATCCTCATTTCAACATCCTCAACAAGCTTCGCGATATCACAAGGGAAGCTCTCTTTCAGATCTTCCTCCTCCTCCACAAGCTGCAACTCCTCCTTTGTGTAATCCTCTCCGCTTGCTTTCATCCACTTACTCCCAGTCGATGTCGACTGCAACCCACCAAAATCATGCATACGTCGGACATGGTAGAAATCAAACAGCATCGCACCCCAGTGCTGTACCTCATTGGCTACCATCTTCCCTAGCATGCTGTTTTCAGACAAAAGTGGCTTTCCCTTTGGGTCGCGAGGCCAGGTGGAAAAAATGAATTGGTGTGGAGTGGTTGGTGCCTGGTGACGACGGAGGCGATCTTTTCGGACTGGGCGTGCAGGAGAGTGAGACGATCAAGGGAATCTTGTCTGGATTTACAGGGTCGTTTGCAGCTGAAAACTTGCTCTTTTAGTTTCTTGGATTCTTCTGGGGTGTAGGGAAAATCTTTTCCCCAATTGCCGTCAGAGCTCAAGCTGGGAATCGCGTCGATTTGGATGGCTAAGCCATTCAATGGCTCGACATCCATTTGGTCTGCAAGTGTGAGATATTATTGATTATGAATGCTGTAAAATGGACTTACAATCTGGTTTAGTCGTGAAGGTGGAAGAAAAATAATGAAAGAAAGGAGAATGACTCAAGTACGCCAGAAGATCAAGATCCTGCTCGCCCCTTTCCTCTCAACGCCTTGATCAGCGTGCATGCACAATACCGTACATTCACGGCGAAGAAGGCAATGTTTGGACCTATGGTGGTAGTGAACAGGTGAACGTCCTAGACAACTCAATCAACAAGCATACAGAACAATTACAGCACTCGTGATTCCTCCTTTCCACTCCTCATCTAACATGGCCTGGAGTTGCAACTAGAAACATAGAACTTCATGACAAAGGTACATCCGTCGAATTTTGAGCTTCCTTTTTACAATCTAAGATGCCCACCCTCAGATGCGCGTGATGACCAAGTCCTGCTTAAGGCCTACTCACAGGCCACAATTGCTCATACACAACCAGTACGGGTGTAACCAGAACACGTTGAAGCACTATCCCATGGTTGTGATGCAAAGTCCTTCCTCCACTGTTATAATCAACGTGCTCGATGCTGGGTGGGTGCAGTGTGCGGCTGAGGGTGTTGTGCTTGATTTCAGGTTTCCAGTGAGGAGGAATGCCAGGGTTTCCGTGGGCTTGAATGACGTGAAGGGAAGTTGAGATTCAAAAAGGTTGGACTTGGGACACAACCTCTACTCCACTGAGAAGTCCGTGTCACGCGGGAGTGAGAAAAGTGTAATTGGACGCAGTGACAAGATGCGTGAACACCTAAACAACACACACACACACAAACACCTTAAACACTTATCACCACAGGTACGTGCTCGGTACTTCGAGTTCGGGTTCGTACGGTAAACAGAATCACCACACTTGTTTTGTTAGAACTTAAGTAGAAGTTTGGGGAAACATTTTTTGTATATTTTATATCACTTGTCTAAGTCTAGTAGACCTTTTTGGAACAAAAGGTATTGTTTTACGTGCGGACACAGTATAGAATTCGAAACTTAGTAGTCTTCGAAGGGAAATGGCTTTTATTTGGGACTGTCTCGGTGTTCTGGGATTGCGTTCTAACTGTATACGAAGAAATGACAAGGAAATTGTGCTTTGTAGACTTTTATAACTCCCTTGAGCTTTTATTATGCCTCTGATGCGGTCCAAACTAGTCTTAAAGACTCTTCAAGCACGCTCACTTGGATTCCTCGGTAATAGTAGAGAGCTCTCTTACTAATTGACGAGACAACCTTACAAAAGCTTTGTGATCCCCACTTAACACGCTGGTTCCGGGCACACATTACTTATGTCTGTGAAGAAAAGTCCTTAAATTGATTACAAACTTATCCACTACCTCAGATGCTACTGGGAGTGTGACAGCTGGTCAACGCGGGGGATAATTCCTTGCGTTTCAGCCTGCGTGCGTCCTCTTTTTATACTATTCTATGTTTTCTATTTATATTTACATGTCCGTGCGTTGTCCGAAAGGTCGGACGAATTAATACTGATTTTTAGTAAAGGTTTGAAGTGGCTCGGTTGTGTGTGGCACAACTGAGCTGACTTCTTTTAAGTTTTCATAGTGTTTTCTCTATTGTGGCGACGCGACACATCAGTATTGATGCGTACACGGGAATCGCCGTAAACGGTTTTCACGATCGGTTCAGCCGAGACAAACGGTCTGCTTAGTGATTTTTCTCTCTATTATTAGATACTATGCCCGGGCCTTGGACCGCACGGCAAATCGTTCATAGTTTTTCTCTTTTGGCAGGCTTCGGAATATTTCACGAAGCTTAGTTTTCTTGGGTCAATGATGCCATGATTTGTGATGCACGTGATGTGTCTCTCCACATGACTTCTTGGATCATGCTTCGTAGCATGTGACCAAATGACTTCTCGCGTCAGGTACACGTCGAGTTTCTACGCTCGCGCGTTTATCTTTAGAATTAATATCTTTTAATCCATAATAAAGTGAGACCCTGGTTTGGTGTAAACTCCAACACCCTGTGCGGGGGTGTTTTTTACTCTAGAACACTCAGTAGCATACTATTTCATGGTAGTGTAGCCTTTTATTAGACTTCGAGTATATTGAGGTGATTCGGTCACGAACCGACCACAATTCCTACTGTCTAAGGCATGCACATTTCTTGGATGTAGACTTTAATCGACTAGACCGGGTTGCGTCTAACGATCCTTATGATCAATGTGACTGTATTTCTACTATAGGAGGTTTTATAGGAGAAATTGCTAAAATTCGCATTTTTACGGGTGTATTGTTACACTCCGTATCACCACACAATACGCACATACTCTCTCAGAATTGGGAATCACCATTTTGTTGTGCTTCTCAAGCCTGATCTCCACGGGTGGACGCGAACGAGAGGGACGGACGTCTATGCAGAGCATGTTCGTTTGACGAATATTGTTCCCTCTTTGGATTCTTCGATGTCGACTTGAATGTGGCGGTTGACTACTTAGCTGATACTATATCCTGCAATAATGACATGCTCTCTAGATCTTTGACAAATTTGACAGAGAGAGGGGGGTGCGCCTTTGATGGATATCCTCGAAGTTACTAGTACTGTATGAGGATACGTTCACTGTCTGTCCCTTACACTAGTAACTACTGGTGTCCAAAGAGTCCATCAGAAAGCTCTACCTCGAGCCTTCCTTTGCCTTCAGCATCTCCCCAAATATCTTCCCTCAACAAGTCAAACCGCCATCACCCAAGGCATCTTCGTAGTCCCATGTTGGCTCCCCTGCACCCTTCATGTTCCTCAACACGCATTGGAAGAAATGATCCCTGAATAGAATATCAAGTGGTCATATGTGCGGATCTGAGATATGTTCCAGGTGTAGGAATGAGCCGTGGATATCGCCCAAGTCACGGACAAATGTGGTGATTCGGTAGCTGTCCTAAAATTCCAGAGTTCCCTAGTTGGTCAACTTGAGCTTCAAGTGAGGGTGCGCTGGGATCAGTGATGTGCTCGTAGAATCTTTTTTGAAGCCACTTTGAGTTCAGAGCGGTTATGTTGGGGAAGGCGGGGGTGAGATGAGGGCTTCGGAAAGATGAGTGCAAGGGAATATGTGAGCTGCACGTCCAGGTGTATGATTCAAGACCTGTTATTAGACATTTTTGGTCACGGTCTTGTGCACGTTCGCGATATCCATTTGTGGGTCTCTATGTAGTTTTTGTTGAGTCCCATTGACGAGTAGTAGGATTGAGAACTCACCCCTTCCGGCGTGTTCGAAACCGTCAGCGCCCGCCGTCAGTACGTTTCCTGCGTCAAACCTACAGATATAGGACTTCCCTCCTGAAGAATGGTGAGTCCATGAAGTGCAACACCAATAAGTAGTAACAGCCACCTTCTTTCAAGATGATATATCGACCAGACTTCGCTAGTCACTCTCAAGTTTTTTCGGTCCACGATGGCCAGGCATAGTTTCGTCCAAATCAAATATCGCCCACGAGCCGTCCGTTTGGATTATTCTGTGTAGCCATGCATAGAAGTGAGTCCATGAGAGTCGAGACCGTAGCGTTTTCGTACTGCCAGAAGCCTGAAACCGGGTGAACCATTGGAGAAGCTGCAGGATTTTGGCCACTGGAAGGTCTGACTGGATACATTCCCGTCGTAGTCTTCGAGGGCCACATTACGTTGAGACATCATTGGGAATCTTTGGTTGAGAGTGTTGGAGTCTTGAGTCTTGGCAGAAGGAAGTATTAGTCAGGTCATTGAGACAGTCGCTTCTAGTGAATGGGTCACAAATTTTCAAGGCAATGAGCGAACCATATGTGAAGGATTTCAATATTCTGTAGCTGATAGGACTCATTGGGAGAGAGGAAACTGAATGGATTTGATCCGGGATCAAGATCCTCCGCCGACAAACAACCATCCCTTTTTTTTCAAAGCCAGATTTCAGTGTCGACCTCTTCTCGTTTGGTGCCGCGACTTTGACAACTCATGTGTATGAATCATGGTCGGGTTCACGCATTATGACTCCTAAGAAGTCCTCGTCCTCCCTTGACAAAAGTTCGTCTTTTTGCAAAAACATCAAAGAATCACCCCGAGACTCAAGTATCTTGAGGTAACTATGTTTCTGTTCAAGTTTTATGTAAACTCAAGCCGACTTGCAAACTTTCCACAGAACAACCATACCATGCCTCTTAACACACCAACATCGAATTCGGTCGAAGAAAAAGTCCGAGACCACCTCTTAAACACCGTAAACGACCACTGGGGAATCAGCCAATTCTCCAAAAACAGCCTCCCCCTCCCCATCTCTCACATTCACTTCATTGCCCACCCAAACGAGGACAACTGGGGTAGCGACAGGCAACGACCCACTAACCACTGGACCATGTACCTCGAAACATCACCGAACTCCTCGGTCCACGTTGACGTTGCTCCGGACGATAACGATGTTGCAATGGTCATGCTTGACATGGAGCAGGTCAATTATGACGCCTACAACGTCTTTCACAAGTCGCTTCCTGTGATTGGTGAGGGCTGCAGTGTTGCGACGGTTCTGGATGTCTTGATTACGAAGAAAAGGGATGTGTATAGGTTCGCTCCGGTGGGTGAAGGATGTCGGTACTGGCTCTCCATCTTTGTACTAGATCTGGTGGATGCTGGATTGGTGAATCAGGGAGACGCCCAAGACGCCATTGATGGACTTGGGATGTATTGGTGTTTTCCTCCTGGCACTGGCTCATTTGCAAGAGAGATTGCACGGGGTTCTTTCTAGTAGTTTCTTTCTGGTGATGAATGTACTCCAAAAGCTCCCAACGAGGAACCTTAATTCTAAACGTGTGCGCGTATGCATATGACAGAAATCAAAAGTCGACGCACCCTCAAATCAAAGTTGAAGATACGTGATCCCAAACCTCTTCCGATTCAACGCCTGCAACCGAGCCCAATCATCCGTATGACATGTGTCAGCGAAGAGCCCAATGACCGCCATCTTCAATTGCTTAACGGGGCAATTCTCGGCCGATAACCATCTCGACTCAACCATATCCGCCACGCTCCCATCCTGGGAAGAAATGCATCCCCATAGCTTGATGGTGCTGAGATTCGGACAGAGCATCTCAGTGATGGTCTCCTCCACCGGCAGATCACCCCCACTATGCAGAACCTTTTCTGCAAAGGTGGTATACGTCAACCGCTTCAACACCTCCTCCGTCACGCATAAATGCCTTGAACGAAGGAGGAATGCAAGGAACTGGGATTGCAGCCAGTGGCTGATGTGCACGGGGGTAATGTTGGGAAAGGATCCGTGGACCTCAGAGAGCGAAAGATCATTCAGAGCTGGTAGCGTAAGCTTGTCAAAGAGACTTCCAAGGTCGCCCGCCGTGCTTAGATGGAGGCGTTGTAGATTGTTGTGAACAATTGGGCCAGAGCCGTTTGTGATTGTAACTTGGACAGGAAGAATGAGTGTTAGCTCTAGAGACGTGAGCTGAGGGCAGAATGTGATGATGCGGAGACCCTCAGTCATCAAAATGATGTGGCCCAGCCAGAAGTGCGTGAGCTGCGCCCAGGGAAAGGTGAGCGTCGTGAACGGTTTCTCAGCCAACTGACGGAATGAAGCCATGGTGCGGAAAGCATCGTGGATGTGATGCGATCCACGTCGTCCTGTTCCAGCCAGTAACTTTTCTCCAAGTATAGTTCTTCGAGCAAGGGAAACGAGGTGTCCTTGGGCAGTGAAGCGAACCCGGTTTTCTTGGACCATGCATCTTTGTATCGTATACGGACTTTCTGCCATCAGGAGTGATGGGGGATGAAGACCTCGAGCATGGACAAAATGACTGAACCGGTGGGATCCTTGGATTCTGGTTCGGCGGTAAGTATGGTGGGAAGAGTGTAGTCAATCCCAGCATGACTGCTGCGGAGGAATGGATCTCGCTCTTCGATGGAGATGGTCCAACTAGCTGCCACCGGCCAATAGCTTGGAGGGAAAATCATTTAGTTCAATAACTTCCATGATAAGGACCTTCTAAGCAATTGGTTGCCTGGGTATATCTGCTTTCCCTGATCTGTTAAATCAAGATTTCCATCAGCATTGTAGCATTTGGAAGGTCATACAGATATTGACGACGAGTCCATTATGGTCTCCTGCAGCATTGTTGAACTCTCCCCGGATATCGTTGTCGATTGAGACTGACATAAAAGAGATGGGGAGCTGGCTGCGCTGTTAGAGCTTTGGGGATGGTTTAGTCAAGTGTTAAGTTTTGCTCACCTCGAGGGCCCGCTAACATTTGCCATAACTCCAATGATCAACAATACCCACTGAGTGTGACTGAAATCTCAACTCGGTGTTGATAGGCAGATGCAAAGTTGAAGCACAGGATACATAGGTGCCGAACAGCATTCATGATGGTGCATCATACATAACGGAGATTAAGATGCATACTATGACCGTGACCATGTAATTACGAGTTGAAGTTGTCGTTCAAATTCAAAGGACTTCCTTTTGTTCAATGCCTTTTTAATGCTTGTCTACTAAGTATACAGCACAGACACATATATACCATCGCACTCAACAAGATCCATGAACAGGAACTCTTGTATTCGCCACAAGCTGTCCAAGCTCAGGCGTTGGTCAGTGTCAATCAGGGCGACTGCATCTTGGCATGTATAGATAACAAAAATTGACCCCACCATCACAGTCGAACATGTGTGATCCCGGACCTGTCTAAGTTCAGCGCCTCTAACCGAGTCCAATCCTCCGTATGACATGTGTCAGCGAAGAACCCTATTGCCGCCGTCCTGAGTTGCACGATGGGGCAACCTTCGGTCCTGGATAACCATCTCGACTCTACCATATCTGCGACCTTTCCATCCTGGGCAGAAATGCATCCCCACAGCCTGATGGTCGTGAGATTTGGACAGATAGTCTCCGATGGGGTGTCGTCGGCCAGCTGGTCATCCCCATGACACAGAACGTTTTCTGACGAGATAACTGATGGGGTATACGTCAACTGCCTAAGAACCTCATCCGTCATGCACAAATGCTTTTGGTGATATTCCGTGATAGACAACAAATCCAATGACTTCGATATCTGCGGATGTATGAGGCACTCTGCTATCTCTTCTGCTGAAATATCTCACTCCTGAATCATGAATTGCTTGATGGTGCAACCTGAACGTAGGAGGAATGCAAGGAACTGGGATTGTGGCCACCGGCCAAGCTGTATAGGGGGGTTGGGTGAGGTTCCATGTAATTCGGAGAGTGATAGATCCTTCAAAGCCGGCAGAGTGACTTTGTCGATAAGCACTGCCAGGTTACCTGCAGTACATAGATGTAGGTGTTCTAAAGTGTTGTGGACAAATGGATCGTCGTCGTCGTCGACGGGAAACATGGGAAGAAAGAGCGTCAGCTCCAGGGATTTCAGATGAGGACAGATCGCGAGGACACGAAGACCCTCGTTCATAGTGGCAATGGGGCCCTGTGAGAAGTGTGTGAGCTGCTTCCATGGAAAGGCAAGCATTTTGTATGATTTCTCGCTTAGCCAGGTAACGGAATGGAGCCGTGGTGCGGAGACCATCATGGATTTGATGCAGTCTAGATCTTCTTGTGCCCACCACTAACCTTTGTCCAAGTATACCTCTTCAAGTAAAGGATACGTGGTGTTCATGGGCAATGGCAAGGCAGTAACAACTGTACCAGGTGATGCATCACTGTATCTCAGACGGACTCTCTGCCATCGAGAGTAATGGGGACTGAAGAGATCGAGCATGGACGCAACTGGTGATCCAGCGGGGTGCTCAGAATTCGTATTGTCGTGTGGTATGGTGGGCGGAATCTGATCAACTCCTGCATGAAAAGATGAATCTCTTTCTTCAATAGAGAAAGAAAGTGCAGAGGAGCCAGAGCGAGAGAGCTTCACCTGCGTCGACAGTGCTGCTCAAGGGCGCCAACAGGGCGTGTGTATCATTCCGCTGCTCCATCATAGTTTTCAAGGCTTCCTGAGTGATTGCCATCTCAGTCTCGAGTTTGGCGAGGATTTGCTTGTGGTGTGTTGCGATCCTTTCTAGTCATGAGGCTTGATCAAGTAAAGAGCGCCCTGACCAATGGAGTGACGCTGGTCACGACTAATTGTGATTGGAACATCTGTTTCTGACAGATATACTCCCATGACCTTTTCCGCACCACTGGAGGGTGTTGTGAGTCTGAGGGATATGTTATGCCGTTCAAACAACTTGAAAGGACTGGAGTCAAGAAGTGAGAGAAATCGTAAAGTGAGTCTTTCATCTCGACTCGCTTGGGGAGCAAAAAGAGCTGATCATGAAGTTAGTTAAATACAGGCTGATGTTATTGAGCTCGAACACCGGTCTTATGTCCCCCTGTCTGCAGGCCCCCTGTACAGGTGAGCAAGCGCAAGGGCGTCGCCCAATCAATGATCGCGAGCCACAAAAAATTGTTTGGGAAGAAGCCACCGTGGACAAAACACATGGCCATGTCGCGAGGTAAGGCAGCGAGCATGTCTTCAACCAAGCAAAGCGGAATATCATGGCCCAAAGATTGTTGATGGTTTTCCATTAGTAGGTACCATTTACATCATGAAAATGTGGCAGTTGCCGTGAGGCATCTTGATCAGCTACCGTGAATGAAATGAAATGATTTCATTTCATTCACGGCACTTATTTCATTTCTTCAGAAAAGGTGTGTTTCATTCATTTGCGACGATTTTTTCATTTTTTGTTTCATTCTTTTCCAGGGAAAATGAAACACCTTTTGCCTCATTCTGTTTCATTCTCACTTCTGTTTCATTCCTGCCAGAAAGAATAAGTTTGATTCTGCTTCATTCATTCCTGACAATTATTTCATTCTTTGTTTCATTCTTGCCAGAGGATTGAATATTTCATTCATTTTCAATTATTATTTCATTCTTTCTGGACAGTTATTTCAATGATGTAGTACATGTACAAATAGGGAAATAATATACAAATGATGCCTGATATGGGTTGTGCCCTTCTGCAGTGGATTGAGGGGCCATATGGGGATATTTTTGGATTTGAGGCAGATATATGCAAAGAGCTAGCAGTGGTGTTGCCAAATAGGGCACTTACATTTTGTTCCCATCAATTACATAATCACCTCCCATCTCACAATGGAATGAAACACATGCACCAAAATGAATGAAACAAAAATGAGGCAGCTCAATGACATGAATGAAGCCAAAATGAAAGAAATTCCAGTTCGTCACAAGCAGTTCTATTTCGTCGCCATGGACAGGAATGAAACAGGAATGAAAAACTGTTTCATTCCAACGTGGTAGCTGATCAAGATGGCCCGTGGCAACTGCCACGTTTACATGATGTAAATGGTAGCTACCAGTCGGTTTTCGACAAAGTCCGACACTCTGGAGAACGGTTGTGGGAGGCGCCCTCCAAAGTGGCCAGAACTCGTTGCGAGACTGGTAGCTACCACTTACATCATGTACTCCTGAGCTGTACCATAGAAGTTCCTGCTTAGCTACCATGAATGAAATGAAATGAATTTTCATTCATTCATGGCACCTGTTTCATTCTAGATAATTTATTCTGTTTCATTCATTCCTGGTGACTGTTTCATTTTTTTATTTCATTCCACCATGGCAACTGTTTCATTCCTTGCTTCATTCTTCACAGGTGCCTATTTCATTGTTAGAGCTGTGAAAATGATTATGTAATTGATACAAAATATTTAAATGCCTTATTTGGCAACAGCATGCCTATCTTGTTGTGTATTTGAGCCTCAAATGCAAAAGTACCCCCATATGGCCTCCCACCCCACTGCAGTAGGGCACAACACATATCAGGTATAATTGTATATTGTTTCCTTATTTAGATGTGTATTAAAACATCGAAATTGTTGCCTGAAAGAATGAAACAAAAATGAAATAACTGCCTGGAAAGAATGAAATGAAAATTCCATGGCAATGAATGAAAAAAAAAATGAAACAGTCGCCAGGAATGAATGAAATGGAAGAATAAAGCAAAAAATGAAACAGTTGCCATGGTGGAATGAAATAAAAAAATGAAACAGTTGCCAGGAATGAATGAAACAGAATAAATTTCATTCTTGTCAGTAGAAATGAAGAAAAAATTGAAATGAAATGAAATGAAACAAAAAGTATTTCATTCTCCACGGCAATGAATTAGAATGACTTGGAATGAAACAGTTGCCATGAATGAATGAAAATTCATTTCATTTCATTCACGGTAGCTAAGCAGGAACTTCTATGGTACATGCCAGGTTTTACATGATGTAAATGGCAGCTACTAGTGAGACTTTAGCTTTTAAGATCATGGCTAACCAAACGAACAAGATGAATTCTGATCCCTTGAAAATGTACCTGGCCGGTCCAGCTGGCACCGGCAAGAGTAGAGTCTTTAACGCTCTGAAAGCTTATTTTGAAGCGAAGGGCGAAACACGGCGTTTTCGTGTGTGTTCATATATGGGCATCACAGCTCGGAACGTAGGCGGCATGACTTTGCATGCTGCCTTGAACTTCAATCATTCGAAACGACGTTTGAATGCAAAGGCAGAAAATGAATTGCACGCCATGTGGGAGGGTGTGGATTTTTTGCTTATCGATGAAGTGTTGCTGATCAGCTGTGAATTCTTATATGAAGTTAGTGAAGCTCTTTCCAGAGCTAAAGGCAATCCTACAGCTTTTGGAGGGATCAATGTCATATTCGCCGGAGATTTCGCTCAATTGCTGCCCGTGAGGCAGACAAGGTTGTATAGTAACCTGGATACACAAATGGGATCAGCGACTAGCCACAAACAAAAGAAAGTGTTAGGCCAACTGTTGTGGTTGTCTGTCGATACGGTTGTTGAATTGACTGAAATTATGCGTCAGACGGGCTCTTCGAATGACCGCTTCGTAGCGTTGTTGGGTAGACTCCGAAAGGGCCAATGTACTGAGGAAGATTATACTCTACTTAAATCTAGAATTATAGACCCATCAGACAACGTCCTATATTCTAATACAGACTGGAGAAACACACCTATGATCGTGAGTGAAAACGCCGCCAAAGATGCACTCAATGAAAAATTGGCCGCAGCGTTTGCCAACCGAACCGGCCGTATTTTACACTGGTATCATGCCACAGACCGTGTTCAAGGTAAAATCTTAACGGATGAAAATGTTTTGAAACAATTAGAAAACCTGCCATCCTCGATTACAGGACAACGCCTGGGTAGAATTCCACTCGTTCTTGGCATGCCAGTCATGGTTATGCAAAATTTCGACGTCGAGTCTGGGGTCGTCAATGGCAGTAAAGGCTACATTGAACGAATCAGATACAAACTCGACGCGCAAGGAAACAGAATCTTGTTGTCTTGTATCATAAACATACCGGATTCCGACGAAAATCCTCTTCCCGAGTTAGGCCCTCATGAGATTCCAATTCTAGAAGATACAACGAGTTTTAGCATACAAAATCCGTATACCAAGGAAACGGTTACAATCCAACGTACTCAAGTTCCGCTAATTCCTGTGTTTGCGATGACCGCCCATAAAGCCCAGGGCCAGACCATGACGCATGCGATTATAGATTTGGCGTCATGTCGAGGAACCCAGTCGCCGTATGTCATGGTCTCTCGTGTTATGTCCCTCAACGGCCTACTGATCTTACGTCCTTTCAAGAAAGACAAAATATGCTGTTGTCTGTCACAAGAAGTTCGACGAGAATTTGATAGGTTGAAAACACTGATCCTGCAAACCAGAATTAGATATGTGAGTGACCCAGATGTGATTCGGCAAACTCAACTTGATTTAACGGACCATACTAACACATTACGCCAACGAAAAAACGGTTTGGCGCCGTCAAAAAAAAGAATCGCGTTGAAAGGTCACGGTGCCAAGAAAGATCAAATTCATTCGATCGCCGGATCGACCATAGTTGCAGAGCAGGTCCAGCGCTCACCTAATGAAACAGCCATGCTATCTCAACAAATAAATACCTTGATGCCATCCAGTAAAAGAATTGCGTTGAGAGGTGCTACATCGGCTGACATATGGATGAACGACGTCAGGTTGAACAGCCTGACGCAAACAACTGATTCTGATGGACGTGTTGTCAAGCGTCGGTGAATTGATACAGAGACAAATAACGACTTGGTGTAACGGCTCCTGGATTTCGAGGGGGGAGGGGGGAGAGGTGCAGCCGAATCCAACACCAGGCCTCCTCCATGAAGACACATCTCCTATAACTCTACCTCCTCACTCGTCAAGACATCTCCTGTCAACCTGAACACTGGCAGTACTTCTCCTGCACTCTACTTGAACAGTCTGATGGCATGACGACAAATTCTCCTGTCATATGGTACATTATAAACGACATCTTTCATCTCGTTGACCTTATGTCTTCACCAGCCCAACTTCGATACGCCATGCGAGCGACCAACGGTGTATATGAGTCACTCCTCGAACAGGTGGACACGGGCGGCTCTGCGTATCTGGCAAACTGCGAGTACTCACGTGATTTCATGCACAAGACTCGTTGGAAGGACGGCTTCGACTTCCAGACGGCGTCCGGCAATGAGTTCAGAGCCTGCATCTTTGGGGAAATTCAACGCTCAGCTGTTGGAACAAAGCTTAGCGCTGTCGGCTCGCATTTTATAGGCCGAGGCACGGTAAGCCTTCATGTCTGGTTGTCTATAACCTGGATTGACGTTGGAAACAGCCTAACTACATTACCGATGATACCAAAGTCAAAAATTTATTCATGATTGGGATCCCCACGCTTTGCTCCACTGAGCTCCAGGACCGCTATCACGACCAATTTGTCGCAATCAATGAAATCGTAGAAGCCGACAGACTCGAAGATCAAGCCGCCAACAAAGTACGTACTGATCGCTTCGTTCATACCCAAGGGCATTCTAACTATGAAAATTAGATGTACACTAATAAAGAAGCTGTAGTCGTCGTGAACACTGACTACATGTTCGCGGTCACATCTCTCCCAAAATATATCGTGTGTATCTCGCAATATCTGGGTTCCCAATAATTAACAGCGTAACCAGGTGCCTCGAATTACTCCGGAACACGTACCGACTCTCCAGCGTCTATTGAAACATTCTCGAGATGTCGCTTCCTCTGCAGAACCGGACCCCGCTTTGGAAGACGCCGAATGCGCATCAGGCTCAGACTCTAATAGTGGAAAAAAAGGAATCAAAGTCGGCGATACGTACGAACCAACCGTTTTAAACGATTACGGCGGTCCGCTGTTCCAGCACGTCCACAGCAAGTTAGTCCAACATGACATTTCGACACTCGATAAACGCATTATCCCACCTTGGGCAGAATATGATGCGTTATCAGAGGGCACCTTGGTCATCATCACTATATCGGTACATACATTTATTATGCCCATGAAAGACAATCAAGGAAACTTCACTGGGCAAGAGAGAAGGGTACGTAATATATACCGTTGCAACAACAGTTAACGAAAACAAATCCTAGGTTTACCAACTAAACGCTCACAGTATTCTGATAGTGGACGAATCCGATACGGAAGCAGAGCCACGTTACAGACCATATACGAATGAAGAAGCTGCTGCCGTTACCGCTGTGGCACCAATCGAAACCGCGGCGGATCGCGCCCTCGCTACGTTCAAGGTCAAAAAGGCTCGACATGAATCCCCGCCAGCGACGTTGAACAAAAGCAAAGGAGAGCCCACCTCTCCAGTCAAGGCATCCTTTAGCCCGAACAAGACACCTGTGAAGCCTACCCAAGCCATCAAACAAACTAAAAAAACAGCAGTTGGGAAGGCTACTGGTCAGCGTCCGACTGCTAAGGGTAAAGAAAAGGCCACCTCAGTAGCTTTGTCGAAATCCACATCGGAAACAGCCGAATCGGACTCCCTTGCCGATGAAGATCAGATTATGGCAGAGGTTGAGGTTAATTAGATATGTAATCATATCGCGAAGGACTTTATCTGTAACATCACTGAAGTAATGAATGATCAACAAAAAGTAGCGGGCTTTGCGGCCTGCCGCCCTATATCGTTATGTAATTCCATAGAGTTATCCTAAATGTAGGATTATTGAGATGTAAGGAGAAAGAATGGGAGGAAAAGAGATATTTGCAGTTTCCAACCCAAAATACTGTTGAATACATCAATTATACATGTCGCGTCGCGCATAAATCCCTACCTAGGCCGGAAACCGACGCGTCTGGAATGGGAAAACGAAGCAGACGAAGTACATATGTCCAGTCGAGGCTCAAGAATCTTCAAGGTCTTTTTCAGGTTTGCCAATAGGGCCGAGCGCTTTATGGATGCGTACGAAAAGGGGTTAAACGGCAGTCAAGCTGCCTGGGAAGCACGAAAATATTGTGGACATTGTATTCTTCCACAAACACTCATGGATGACATGGAAAAGGCCAAAATAAACTGACCTTCTCCCTTCTCAGCCTAATTCACTTTCATTATAGTACATACTTGTATATTTTCCGTCGCTTGGACCCATAACTCACGATTAATGCTTGTAGACTTGTACATACATTCCTAACTTACATTTAAACAATTCTATGGAATTATGTTTCATTTAAACTTCATTGAGAATATTGTACACTCTTTTCTTTCATTTTTATGAGCAAAATTTCCTAATTTGAAAAGCATGTCACGGAAATGTAACGACACGTGACATTAGAGGCAAGTGGATGTCCTCTACCTTATGGACATCGGCAGCTTTCCGATTCCAACAGATTTACAACGGAAATGATAATTGGTAAAATGACCATGGTGCACTTTGAATTCAAATTGAACCTGGTTACGATTGTTGAACTGCTAGAAAAAGTCAGCACACCGAGTTGAGAAACATGCATAGGTAGGTGCATACGTTCATGAAGTTTCAAAGCCTTGGCCTCCTCAACGAATTCCATAAATTTGTCATACCCTTCCTGATCAAGTATATTGAGATTCCACCAATTTTTCGGTGCCACATCAACAAGAAATTGCTCCGAATACTTTGCAGCCGGAGGAGGCCTCAGGAATCTCATAATACCAGTAGCATTATCCTTTTCCAGTTGGTAGAAGCACACGTTGGTGCCGAAGGCACTGATACCGTGCATCTTGTAGGGCAAGCTCTCGAACAGTTGGTCGAATCTTTTTCGCATTTGTTCCGAGTCATCGGCGGCTCCTCTTGCGTAGATGTCTTTGAGATATTTCGGAGCCTTGACCTCGACAAAGAATATGGTTGCCTCATTTTTCATGATAGAGAATGTGATGACAAAATCGGCGGTGTCCGTAATACTGGGCTCGATGTGAGAGACAGGGAACTGAGGACAGATGATATAGCCTTCAGAAAGCAGGAAGCAGTGGAAGAGGACACTGTTCCAGGGTCCGTAGAAGGAGTGCTTGTCTGCCTCTGGATCAACCTTCTCGAAGGTATTGACAATGAGCTGTGGCCACATAGTAAAGCGAGGTGAATGTTCAATGTTCAATTGGAAATAGTAAATTGATTCTCCGATCTAAAATAATACATGCATAGATGTAGTCAGAAAGGGAAGCTTGAGATACTGAGGGGGAATCTTCTTTTGGTCTATTATTATCTCTGCTTTATGGCAACCAACTCTGGTAGAAAAGGTATACAAAGCTAAAGAATAAATACAACATGAACACCAGACCAGATATCATCGATAAAACATTCCCTGAGCCAGCCAGTAAAGATGGTCCTGAGTACTAGCTTGACATGCCAAGTACTACCAACCAAGATATCCAACGTTCACTCCAAGCAAGCCATAGCAGAAGACTAAGCAGAGGATGAATGTACCCTCGAGAGTGGTGCTTACCATCCAAATCATAAAACCATGGCCTAGGCCAGGAAGGCCTTCTGCATAGCTCCACATACTTTTATGAAAAGTATATCATATATGTCCCAGGCCCTTTTATGATAAGGATTTTTTTCATAAGAGGCCTTGTGCATTTCAATAACTTTTCATTGCAGGTCACAACTTATCATTAACTGCTTTTCATTGCAGTCCAGCCATTTTCATTGACCACTTTTCATTGCTGGCCAGCCCTTTTCATTATCCACTTTTCATTGCTGCTGACATTTTCATTGGGTGCTTTTCATTGCAGGCCAGGATATTTCATTGGTAGCTTTTCATTGCTCTCTAGGATTTTCATTGGCTACTTTTCATTGCAGGCCAGCCTTTCTCATTGACCACTTTTCATTGCTGCTGGTATTTTCATTGATAGCTTTTCATTGCAGGCCAGGATATTTCATTGGATACTTTTTATTGCAGGCCAGCTCTTTTCATTGACTGCTTTTCATTGCTGCTGGTATTTTCATTGGTAGCTTTTCATTGCAGGCTAGGATATTTCATTGGATACTTTTCATTGCAGGCCAGGATATTTCATTCGATACTTTTCATTGCAGGCCAGCTCTTTTCATTGACTGCTTTTCATTGCTGCTGGTATTTTCATTGGTAGCTTTTCATTGCAGGCTAGGATATTTCATTGGATACTTTTCATTGCAGGCCAGGATATTTCATTCAATACTTTTCATTGCAGGCCAGCTCTTTTCATTGACCACTTTTCATTGCTGCTGGTATTTTCATTGGTAGCTTTTCATTGCAGGCCAGCCCTTTTCATTGGCTGCTGTCAGGTGGGTCATCAGGAGAATGGTCACATGACCAGTTGCCTAAAATGGTTAAAAACAAAAATTGTAGTCCTGCACTGTAGCTTCCTGAATCTGTTTAAATTATGTTGTAAAGTGCTTTCATTGTAGAGATATGAGGTAAAATATTTTTCTCATCGCCAGCCTTTTTTTTTTTTGCATTTTTTGCATTTTTCTCCATGAAAACAAAACCAAACAAGATGATTTCAACACATTTAGAAATCCAAGAGAAGAGGCTACAATTATCATATCATGGGAAAATTGTGCCAAAAAGGAAGGTGCATACCTCAAAAGGGAAATTGACATGGATAGCCTGCAAAAGGCTACAAAAAGTCTGACATAGACTATAAGGACCACTGATAGACTACAAAAGACTACAAAAGTTGGACATACCTTACAAAGTTTAAAGTTTACTAATAGACTACAAAATGTCGGAAATAGACTACAAATTTTACTAACATAAGTTTCTAGTGTCCCCTTTTTTTAGACTACAAAAGTTGTAGTGTCCCCTTTTTTTGGACTACAAAAGTTTGTAGTGTCTGCTATTTGAGACTACAAAAGTTTGTATTGTCTGCTTTTCAAGACTACAAAAGTTGTAGTGTCTGCTTTT